CTCTCTCTCTCTCTCTCTCTCTCTCTCTCTCTCTCTCTCTCTCTCTCTCTCTCTCTCTCTTTTCTCTCTCTCTATCTTTCTTTCTCTCTGTTAGATATTTATAAAGCATGTTTTAGAAATTGTTGAATCGTATACATTAAAAACTATTAAAATAAGATAACTAACTATAAATATTGATTATAATGTTTAATATCTTAGGCATGCTTTTATTTGTTTTTCCAATATTTCATTTTTTTAACTTCCGCGAAATTAGTATTCATAATGAGCACGTTCAGAAAAATGTAATTGTTGTGTAAGATAAACCTAATGATCCATAATTTTTATTTCTATTATTTAAATTTTTTATTTCTTCAATTTTCATTAATCAGTTTTACTTTTTCTATTCTATTTTAGTGTGATTTATTAACATATCTATACGTATTACCGTTTATATTAAATGTCAACACGAATAATTATTTTAAATTATTCACAAGGTTTCAGTGTAATTAAATTGCATGTATTTACTATATAGATTATTTGTAATAAAAAATGTATAGAAATTTGTACAAAAAATGACCACAATATTTAGTTATTTGTTTTTGCATTGAAGATTTGTTTGCTTATCACATGAAAATATTTATCTTGAATGCATACAATTTATTAAAAAATGCATATATTCTGCAATATGATGTGCTGCGTGTTTAACATACTATCGTGCATTCAAGCAATATCCAAATGATAATAAACGAATGTGTATATTGCATCACTGCGTCAGATTATCTCATATGTGTGCATTGCTTCATTATCTGAATACTACTTATACATTTATTATTTAAAATTAATAAGACCATTAAATTATTTGATTAAAATATTATAACTTTACATAGCTTAATTCCAATTTATTATTAATTACACAAATCGATCGTATGAAAAATTATTATTTTTAAACAAACTTTTGTTAAATTATTGAGAGACAGAGAGAGAGAGAGAGAGAGAGAGAGAGAGAGAGAGAGAACATCTAGTTCTTTATCAATCAATTACAATTATTTAGAAAAAAATAGTTAATACATATAAGCTAAGAATATGTTCGACTATAATATGGAAGTTGGCAATATTTAACAAAACAAAATTTTAAATGCCTAATAATTTTTTAATTTTTAAATTTATATGCCGTTTGGCGAAATTAGCTCTTTTACAATAAGGCCAGCTTTTTTGGGAAAACAGCGATCATTCCTCAATTAAACTGACGCTTGAGGTTTTTTGCAAAAAACTAATTAACATCAGCCTCATTAGTGATACGTTCTGTAAAAAGGTTAACGAAACATGTAGCGTAAAGCCTAATTGGCAAAATGTTTCTTTTCTTATCGATAAAGGCGCTGTTATATTAGACTCGAGTTCGACCTGCATTAACAAGTAATAATGAAAGGACTTATTATTTCTTACTTAATTGATTTCTTACTTATTTTGTATATTATATACTGTGATATATTTATCACAACTTTTGATTTTTTGCTTTCGTACTTATTACAACTTCAGATTACAAAAATTTTGTTATGTTTTATAAATTTAGTTAATTATCTATTATTTTTTTAGAAATAAGCAACTTTATTTTAAAGTTATTTAATAAGACTGTTTTGTATCAAATAACAAACTTGGAAGATAAATCTCGTAGTTTTTTTTTAAATAAATAAGTTTTATTTTAAGTAATATTTAAATAATATAAAAATTGATTTTTGTAATTTTTAAATTTTAAATTATTTTTTTAAATTATTTAGGCCTATTTTAAAGATTTTTAATAATTAATACTATTATTGTTATGATACCAGATTATAAATAATGATTAAGACTGTTCTAATGATAAGCAATAAAGAAGTTGATTTTTTAATATTTATTTTCATTTATTAGTTATTACTATTGCTTTAGACTTTACGCAAAAAAGCTAGACATTTTGTTAGCTTTTATATAGAAAGTGTATCGTTAAACAATGAGACTGATGTTAATTAGAAATTTTTACAAAAAGTCTGAAGTGCATCAGCTTAATTGAAAAATGATCGTTGTTTTCGCAAAAAGGTGCCGTTTTGCATGAAAGCTAGCCTTATTGCAAAAAGACTAATTTCACAAAACGACTGCGACATATATAAACCAATAGCACATAATTAGCGACATAAGTTTACTAACTATTACTATATAACTTAAAATTACATACGCGTGCGTATGTATTTCAAAATAAAAAGATCGTTAGATTCTGCTTTATCAAGTACTTCCCATTCTATTGTTAAATTATGGAAAAGTTTGTTGAATTATATAATACTTGTAAATTTACAATTAAGCAATTCTTGTGCAGATATTTTAAACAGAAGATTAGAAAGGATTATCGCCAATAAATCGTTAATCCGTCACCAATTCGTCTTGCAGTATTCGCATTGATGTTATCTTCTCGATTCTTTAGCATTGAGATATCGAGATACATCGGCGAAATTACAAGTGATCATGTAAATTGGAAATGTATCTAACAAACTACATTAACATTTTATATTATTAATTTATACTATTAAACTTATAACTTTTTCTGAGAAATGATTATTAATATAATCAACTTAGTCCTTCTCGCATCGCGAGAATATTTACATGTTGTCGAAGACAATCCATCCTTAACTATTTGCAATTGCATATAAGACTTAAAGAAATTCAATCATTAGATTTTCGCGATATATAATATACAATATAATTATTACATAATATATTTTATGAGAAATCTCTCTCTCTCTCTC